TGTCTATTGCTATAGCTTTGATTCAAAGTTCAAAAAAGGAGTATTAACATTTAGGAAGACACTTGAGTGAAATAGTAGTATTGTCTATATGTCTCTTTGAAGGTTGTGGTAACCTGTATCTGAACTGTTTAATGGATAAATTATCCTGTGCTAATTGCCAGGATGTTTAGGAGAAGGAAAGGTAAGCTTATTGTTTTCTCAGGCCAAAAGGCTGCAGGAAATGTATAAAAACCCCGGGACACGATCCTTCTTCATCTCAGATCTGCTTTGGGTTTCAAGAGGAGGAAACCTTAGGCCGTAAGGATTGAGATCACCAGTCTCTGACTGGAGTCACCCTGAATATGGACATTGGACTATAACCTATGGACTATTTCGAAATGGACTTTTGGCAACTACAAGCTCATCTCTGATATGTATTAGAACCTCAAGAATTGAACTCAGGACTGTATGTATATTGATCTTTTAACCCACACTCTCACTTTTCTTTTTTAATAAATTTTAGCTTAGTTAATAAGAATTGGCTATAAGCATGTATTTTGGGTAAGATCTAAGTTATCATTTGACCTGGGTCTGGGGCTTGGTCCTTTGGGATCAGGAGAACCTTTTATTTTATATGATGAGATAAGATTTTCAGTAATCATCATCATATCTGACGTGTGTGTGTGTGTGGATGGAGGCTTGAGGCTGGGTACTTTAAGGGAACTGCGTTGTTTGGACTTCTGAGTAACCAGTGAGGTAATACAGAAGTTGTTTTGTGCTGGCTTGCTAAATCTAAGTACACCTCTACCCCGCTGTCCTCGGGACCCAAAAAATCTTACCGCGTTATAGGTGAAACCACATTGTATCGAACTTGCTTTGATCAGCCGGAGTGCGCAGCCCCACCACCCCGGAGCACTGCTTTACGGCATTATATCTGAATTTGTGTTATATTGGGTCGCGTTCTATCGGGTTAGAGGTGTATTGGAATATCCACCAGCATTTGGGGTTTGTCTGCCCCGTTCTGTTTGCAGTTCACCCTAATTGAGTGACCTCAGAGCTGGCTCCCAAGGACAGCATCATCACACAATGGTCCTGCCATTCCCTCTCACGGTCCTTCAGCTCTTTCAGTTTCAGTCCTTTTTCCAACTCCATGAACGGGGAACTCGGTCAGGAAGATCCCCTGCTGGTCGGGTCGGTGGATCCTGGGGCTCCCTGGCTGCTCCCAGCCTCTCTTGGGGACCCAGCTGGCCCAGGAACCAGCTCCTTAGAGCAATCATTCTCTTTCAACTGGGCAATCAGCTGTGCCTTAGTGAATTTTCCAATGCGTGGCCCTCTCTCTCTCTCTCTCTCTCTCTGCACAGTTGTACAATGTCCTTATTAAGGAGATGGTTATAGGCCATCTCCATGCTGTTCCCAAGGGGTCACAGACTCACAGGCCTGTGCTCTTTCAGCTCCCCACGATCCCTCGGAGGAACCGCTTCAGTGCAACAGCGGTTCTCAAGAGTCCACTCTCTCTCATGGGTTAAGCCATAGGCTCCTCCCGCCTCAAGGAATCGCACCACTTGGACCCACAAGCATGCCCGTCTCCCTCTAATCCCCCTTTGTTTTATTACTCCACAGTCACTTACTGCAGGATGCTCTTTGCAGGATGCAGTTTGATACCAACTCTGCCACCAGTTCGCACAGACACTCCGGGCGATGCTCTGCAACTACTCCATAAGAAGCCAGTCAGTACTCTGGGGGAGCATACCTCCTCTCTTTGCGCATATTGTCTCTAGGGCAAGAAGCTTACAGAGCTTCAACCTTCCTGGGTTTGAGATGTGACAAAGTGCGGTTTTAATTATCTCATTATTATGCATGTGAGTCTTACTGTCCTACGCTAATGTTCTGTGTACCTTGGCCCCGATTGGCCGCAAGGCCAGAGGGGCGCCCCGATTGGCCGCAAG